ATAATATATTACAATATTTGTAGTTCAGCGAGGTGCAGCATAGAAAATCTGAACGCATTTTTTTCCTCCGTTTTTTTCAATCGACATTATATATATAATATAGTTTTATATAATTTTATATAATAAATATATTGTATAGCCACATTATATATAGAAGATATATAATATATACTCCAGATTTCCTGATCTATGGGCGTAGGTACATGTTTTGGATTCAATTGCATTAGGTACCTTTAAGTACATTTACTAGCTAGGTATACATTTTTATTCCGTGTTTCGAATCATAAATGTAGGTAGGCATATAATATATAGAAAGTCCAATAACAGAAAAGTAGATAAATCACGAAATATAAGTTTACAAGAACTATATACGCTATAGTACAACATGTTTTTGTATCAGTATATTTTGTATTGTGGTAGGAGGGATTTGTTCCAATAAGCCAATACTATTATAGGTATATGCTACATGGCATAAATATAAATGTACAGCGGCATTGGTCACGATAGGTTTTGTGCAGAATAGTATTTTGTCTGCATGGGGGGAGTCAATACAAAGAGTGATTTTCAGCCCCTCACGTGTGCCATAACCTGTTTTCAAAATGGCTACCACGTAGGACTTATTATGCTTATTTTTTTTATCAAGTTGTTTATTGTAGTTACAAACATTATCACCGTCACGCGACCCGTTTTTGTTTAGAAAAACCGCACAGATCTCAAGAATACATACATAAGTAAATTATGTGGGTGTTTAGATATAATAATACTTTTATGGTATACATATATTACATAGTGACCTCTAGATTTTCTAATACCAAAGGATAATTTAAATAATTTAAAATGGTGGTGGATGAGTGGAACGATGAATTCTGATCCCTTAATGGTCTTTTTTTCAGGGTTTCAAAACGTAGTTCAATACGATTTTTTTAGTACATAATAGTATATTATAGGATGGATCTAAGTCAAATATCTGATCCCTCTCCCCACAAAAAAAAAACTATGTAACTATACGACAGAAATGTAGAGTATAATGCGAACTATGTATAATGCACCTAAAAACCTAATGACAAATAATAGCACTCTTAATAAACCTTTTTATCTAGAATAAGAATCAACACGACTTTTTTATAATGTTACTTGTTATAGATATACGTTAACATAATACATGAATTTAACTTTGTTGGCAATTTTTTATTTGTAACAAAGCGTACCCAATAAATTGTTGAACTACTTAATTTTAAGATTTTATTATTTATTTGATTATTTCTATCCATATAGTATGTAAATATAAACATCTATACACACACGTATACCATACATAATATATATACATACAGGGTGATTCATAATTTATGTTACAATCAAATAGATATTCAAAATAGTGAAAAATGTATAATACAAAACATCTATTAGTGATTTCATAAATTTATAATTGTTATATTTTTGGGGGGTTTTGAGAGGTGAACTTTAGAAATTAAAATGGAAACCCATACTTTTAAAAATAGCCTTCAAGTTTTGCATTAATTAATTAATGTTGTTCATGCACTAAGATCTATGTTTTAATACTATATTATAAATATGTTATAAGATATATTTTGAATGAACTCAAATTAATGTTCTGCAGTTGGTATCTCATGTATGTACTAAGAATTGCATGTATCTGGGTTATAAATATTGTAACTAGAGTAATAAACAAATAACATATTATTATATATTGTTAGCAGTAATAATAATAAGTTATTACATACAAATTTGACATCATTTAAACTTTAAAGCACAGATAACTATATACATATAAAGCGACATAACCTTAATGACTTTTTTATACAACTAGGAGTTGAATTAACAACAATAATATGATTATATTTATTTATTGTTAATCCAACTTTTAAGTACCAAACTTATCCCTACATACCTCGCAATTTTTGAGCGTTTGCTGTGTTAACAATCCACAACCAAGACAATCGTATACTCATGGTTCTGAAATTTGATGCATATAGGTTATAGTGGTAATTCGTAATTCTATAAAAATATATAGAAATAACTTGATGAATAAGGTCAAAGATGTTTTAATCGTACATAAGTCATAAATCATTAAAGCCAATGTAGAATCAAACATAAAATACAAATATATCGATATTTAATAGAACGCATTAAATAGTTATAAAGTATATACCTATATAGGTAGCATATTATATATGATACATGATGTGCACAATTAGATCCTTGACGAGTTATACGAAAATATCCTAAAGTTCTAATTAAAACAAAGGAAACGCATTCCGAACCGTTTCCAACAACCTTTTAACTTTTTGAAATATGAGACTTTCCCACAAATCAATAATCTAAATTAGACCGGATATTATAAGAACGGTTAACCTTTCATAATACATTAACATTCTTAACAATTTTACAGTTGATTTCTATAAATCCTTAAAGTTCGGTTGCTCTATTCTTAATGTATTTAACGTGATTATTAAAAACTATTTTACTATCCCTTACAATTTTATCTGCTTTCAATTATTCTAGCAGATTGTCTCAATATTACAATTTATAATTAAAGAATAAATTGAACTAGAAAGCAGAAATTATAGGAGACACCAAAATATAGAAAGGACATTTAAGGAACTCTGTTTAAAAGAATAGAATCTTGATGGATGATGGGATTTAATTTCGTCTGCGAATAAAATTTAAGAATAAGACAAAAACGAGATATACGTGCTTTTTAGAAAATTGATACGAACCATGAATCCATAATTTGTTCACTATAAATCACAATACTAATATGTAAAATTAAACTTTTAAACTCTTATAAAATGAAGTATAATATTGTATTAGGTTACCTAATTTAGGTATAAGTATATATTATGTTCCAAAAGTTCCATTATATCTCTTCAAAATTATTATTGATACCATAGTAAATCAATACATCGAAATTTGTTTTGTTTTTTATAACAGTTATAAATAGTTATATAAAAGTGTATTTAGGTATAGGTATGCTATAAATTGTAATTAGCTTTAAGGTATTATATGTGTTGAGAAACCACATTCATGTATGAAGGTATATTGTATATGATGATACGGTACTTTTTTGATGTATTATTGTATAATAAGTAATAACATATAAGTATAAAATTTAGTATATAACTTCTCGTTTTGATAAAAACGATTATACGATATACCATTTTTTCAACATAGATATGTTTTTGGGCTGGGTGCAAAGTTTTTTTTAACAGATTTTCGTAATGCTTTATTGCCACAAAAACGTAAATCAACAGTATAAAAACAACAAAAATTAATTAAATACCTATAGTAAAATGTAGGCTACTACTAGATATTTTTCCACTGTAGGTATTATATCCAAAAACATATCAGTTATGATTCCTCAATTTTCCTTGTTGAATTTTCAATTCTTTTTTAACCTAAGTTTTCGTAAAGCCGACCAACTTTCACATTCGAATTACACACTGCAGTTATTGTTTGGAGCTAACCCGGTTAAACAGATTATACAAGAAAAGATTTTACTTTTCAATAATATATTCAATAATTTACTAATTACGCCCAGCAAACCGATGAAAAAATATGATTAGGTACTTATACACATATTGTATTGCCATTTGCCATAATATGTAAGTATACTCGTAAATTATATAAGAATCGCATGAATCCATGATGGCGAATACAGCAATAAGGACGTATAAATATGTGTAATAGTACCTATATAGGTATATCGACTATATAATATGTATATGGTACCTACCTATATATTTGCATTATAATATACTATAAACAAAATATATTTTTTATACTCCAGTTATAGAACGCAATTTATATAAATTTAAGTATTGCTTCGTAAGATGCATAATAAGTTTTGCTTAAATTCTAAACTTCCATGTAATATGTTATCTATTTAATGTATAATGTGCGATACACACTTTCCAATTCCATGGAATTGGGAAACTATTAAATTCTCTTAAATTTTGGACACATTATGTAGGTTATCAATAGGTACTTGAAGATTGTGGCAAAAGCCTCACACGCATGAGTTGCCGAATAATTTCAAACCTTGTGGCTTATAGAACATATAATATTATCTAATATTGTTATTAATTTTGTGTCTTAGCTGCCAAAAGCTCATCTTCGCTGAACTCATTTTCTCGTCAACAACAAGTAAGTTTATCCCACACGAACACTAACAAGAAATAGGCGCCCACGCGGACAGCACAGATGACGCGGGCGCGCGCGACCAGCGTCGGCGGCGCACTGCCGAGACAGTGCCCGAGTGCCGACCGCGGGTTCGTAGCGTCGCGGTCGTCCTTCGGGGGGCTTCCTCTCACCGGCACCACCGATGCCGCCACCGCGGGCAGCACCGGCAGCACGCGGCCGATACACCGTTGCGGACTCGGCGGGCGCTACGGCGTCGGCGCCGCCGAAACGCGAGCGGCGGCCAACCCGTCACCGTGCCCCACTGCCGGGCCATCCTGGCGCCGCCCCGTTTCGCCCCGCTCGCCGTGAAACGGCCCCGCCCCGCCGACTTCTCCCCCACCCCGCGCCGACGACGATAACTCCTACACCACCTCCTCCGGCCACTCTTCCGCAACGTCAGACACCACGCCGCCGCCTCCCCCGGTCGGCGTAACTGGGCCACCGTGCGAGCGAGAGAGATGAGTCGCGTGTCACCCGGGCGCGGAAAGCAAAAGTGTACGGCGGCGGTGGCGGTGCTCCGGCCGTCTGTTGCGGTTTATACCGCGTGCGTGTGCGCGCTCTCGCTCGCGTATTAATATTATTATTATTATTATTATTATTATTATTATTATTGTAATACTGTAACTGACCGCGCGCGCGCCGCTAACGTTATTTTTTCGCGCTACTCGGCCCGAGTGGGATCGCTTCGGACGGACCGACGAACGGACGGACGGACGGACGAACGAACGAACGAACGGGCGGCCGGTGGGGGGAACTCGTCGGTAACGGTGGCGGTGGCGGTGGCGGCGGCGGTCGACGAAGACGCGCCGGGCGAAACTGGGTTGTCCTCCGGCCCGGCAGTGGAACAGACGCATCCGATACGCGAACAACACTCTCTCGACGTCGCGGCACACACCGCACAACGCACACGACGCGCGACGACGATCACAATAATATTAAAATAGTGATAGGCAGTAATCGCGAATAATATCGATCGTCGCCAGACCGTTAGAATATCGGACCGCTCAGTGATCGTGTAAACCTCATGGGTTTAAATACTTCGTTCGTGTGAATTGTATACGGAATAATAAAATTATTATATTTATTATTTCGCCGTCGGTCTTGTCGTTGTACGGTTTTCGTGCGATTTCGTTTGTTTGTTCGTTCGTTCGTTTTCTCATCGTCACATCTGTCGTTTTTCCGTTTTTGCCGATCGATCGGCGAACAAAAAAAAACGTTTGGTGTTTTCGTGCCGTCCACTGCGACATGGCCACGCGGATGCTAATATTAAATATTCGTTACGTGACGGCCGTTTAAGCTTTTGAAGTGTCCAAGTGTGTTCCGCGTGAGGATAACAACGACGCCGCCGCTGAATCTGCTGCCCCGCCGACACTCGACCGATAATCGGGTAAGAATATTTTCCTTTTAAGTCACGGGTTCTATATTATATGGTATTATTATTTGGAATGCGCTGCTAAGCATAAATAGTAGAACTAGACTGAATTATATAATTTCATTCGAAAATAAAAAAATAAAATTAGAAAAATGACTATAAATTCACAAGTTTTTCATTTTTTTAAATTTTTTTTTTAGAAACTATTTGGTGAATATAATGGAGTGGCATTTTTTAATGAGTATTTAGGTACTTAAGTATATATTTAAAAGTTGTTTTTTTAATCCAACAGAAAAAAAAATATTAAACTTAAATGTATACTTTTTTTTTTATACCTATACCCATACCCACAATTCTAAAATTAAATAATAAATATTAATTAGAAAAAAAATATTTTCCTAATAACTATTTACTTATAATAACTTTATCGTTGTTAAATTGTCTGTATTTTTAAAAAAATTAAAAATTAAACTAAAATGATAAGTAAATTGTCTGATCAAATTGTTTTCAATAAATCAGATGGATCTATAGTCCTTGATCCTTATTGTTTTCTAAATAATATACAATTTATTTGGATTTTGAACTTTATGTCGTATTTATAATTTTATACTAATAACAATATAATTATGTGTTATGCATCATAATCCTTCTGTATTAGTTATATTTCTATAATTGTTCATTGATTATTTTTTAGTACAAAATTCTTAAAAAATTATAAAATAGTAATTTTATATTAAGTGTTTATAAGTTTTATTTCGAATTTCAAATTTTCATAACGTAAGTATGTCCATGAAAATCGTGATTTTATTGATACATTAAATTACGATCTTAAATATATAGTTTTAAATACTACCTATATTTCAATAATTTATAAAATAAAATCTGTAATAGAACCTATTTCCCTATATTATATTAAATGTATATTTGAATCAAACCAAAGTCAGTATAATACATGTAATATTATAATCTATCGTAACTATAATTACCATTTTATGAAGAATGTGAGGTAATAAAAACAGAAAATACATAGGTACCCATGTGTTAATATTCAATAAAATATACCAATAAATTAAATACCTTTAAAATAATACCTACAATCTACATTAAATAATACCTATAATGATAAAGATACCTGAGAGCTAACGCTATAAGTATACGCGTAGGTACCTATTAAAATAATTGAGATGAGCAATTTTGATTTGCAATTATATTTTATTTATAGAACCAATATCACTGTATAATATAACAGTTATCAAGTTGTATGTATTTAATTATGAAAATCAATTTGTAATAAATTTAGAGTAGATAGGTGCTTCGAGTATTTATAATAACGATGCATAGCGGCTGTACCTATATAGGTGCTTAAAATACTCCCATCTATAGGTAATATTATATGATACTATTTTTTAGGAAAACGCTCGTAATCGGTACTTTATTATTATATATTGTCGTGGTTTTCCTCTCGCTCCCCATCACTTTTTGTTTCGTTGACCGAGTTTTCTCATCCGAATTCACTTTTCCCAATCTGTATTGTTCCCCGTTGTCTCCATTCTTATTCACGCGGTTCTTTTGTGTCACGAATGATTGATTACTTTTTTTCGTTACACATCTCGTAGAAATAAAAATAAAAATAAGAATAAGAATGAAAACCACAAGTGTATTGAAGAAGCCGAAAAAAAAGAGCAAACTCTGTTTCGTAATACGTATAATCCACCGCGAGAATATAATATAATATGCTGTTTCACACAAAGAACAATACCGATTTACCGCGACATTTTCGGTCACATTTAAAAATTCTTCACGAAAATATTGTTCTCCTCGTATAATATAATAACATACACCTGTATAGTGTATTGTGTATAATATGCGATATCTCCCGTGGTTGTGCAACAGGACTCGATTTTTTCCGCACGGCCGCTCCCAAACGGCACGTTTCTCGTTCGACTTTGCGAGATCGGCTAGCGCGTGGCATTGTTTATACTTTATGTAAAATGCCGACAAGTCCATCCACTCGCGTATATACAGACAACGCGGAAAGAGACGAAATGTGTGCCTAGGTATAGGTTAGGTCAGGTTAGCGTCATAGCTACAGTGAGAAATAAAATGATACATTATTAAAAAACATTAGCGCACTCGGGGGGTCATTGTAGGACGTACATTGTATGTGAGTTCTATACGTGACCGGATCGGGTTTCACGATTTATGCGAGACAAACTTATGATACAATATTCCCTAAATGTTATAAAATGAATGGAGGAAAAATAATAAAGACCTAATGAACACGATGATCCATCGCGTGCCTATATATATACATAATATTACTATATCGGTTTACTATATTATATTCATTGAATAAAGCCATTAAAGTTTATTTTATTAAACAAGTATAAACAAATAATAAACAATAATAAATTGTGAAATAAATATGGGTTAACTACGTGTTTATAATAATATATACCATGGTTACAAACGAGGCATTGTTCTTGGTGGTAGCCGCGGTGTGCCCCTATCATCGTCCAGAGCGATCGGGGTTAATGATCGCCCGTTATTAAGACGTAGCGTAACTGTAGGCAACAAATAGGTAAGTGTATTATAATATTATTATGACGTCTCTCTTGGAGGAACATTTTTGCTGCCACTGCTGCTGCAGTCATTGTGGTTGCCCAATCGATGTCTCGATGTGAACCTACTCTAGCCGCCGTTTCGAAATTCGTCAAAATTGTACCAACAACAATAATAATTCGCGTAATAATCATTTCGTGTCGATTTGGAACGAATACACCTATAGGTATTCTATATAATATATATTAATAGTGATATTATTATTATTATTATTATTATTATTATTATGCGCAAACAATTGGAACGTTTTTCAACATTTTCTTTACATTGTAAAAATATCTGGTGTATTGACACAATTAAATAAAAAATAAAATAAAAATTTTCTTCCGCCTCTTAGTGGAGAGAAAAACATTATGTAGGTAGGTACTTAATGTGCCTTATACCTATTTGATAATATAGAAAATTACCAGCCACGTGATGGTTATCGCGAGTTCCAATTGTATAAGTATATACATAAATATTACCTCCGGAGCGACGCACGAAACAATGGTTAATCCGATACCCGCGCCCACCCCGCCCTCGATGTCGGAAGCTCTTCTTTTACGTCGTGTACTTGTAATTACGATATTATTTATTCTCCCGCAATGTGTGGCGAGTGGGTAATTTCCACGCAGAGTCACGGTTGTCTCGCAGATTTTATTCATAATAACAACAATAATAGGTAATAGGTGTTTATCTACTTTTTGGATATTGTTCGCGGATTGCGCGGCGCATGTGAATTAAAGTCGTCAAAAAGTAAAAACGATATTATTATAAAATAAATACTGTATAAAACGCGTATTATACCTATTAACGTTTCAGAGTTGTACACAATAATATAAAATATACATATAACATATTTTGTTTGTTTGTTTTCTCACTAATAATATTGCAGTATGGCAAGTTACCTAAATAGAGTATATACATAAATTTACTCTTTGGCGGATGAGAACTACTTTTAATAACAACAATGAATTGGGTACTCATAAAGACTAAAATTAAGGTTAAATCATTAACATTATAATAATACTCGTAATATCATCGTGAGACGGTAATAATATATTACTTGTATATAGGTAGTGTACATTATTTTTGTAGCGAATCGTCACTTACACCACCGTTAGAATATTAGTATAACGTCAGTATTAGGTAAATCACTAAGTTATACAAATAATAGCTGGTAACAAAAATAATATATATTGTGGTACCTATAGCCTATAGTGATTTTTAATCCTGATAAAGAAAAAAAACGATCGAGTCGCATAATATGCGTAATTGAGTATTGCGAACGTTAATCGTTGGGTAGTACAAACAACAAAGTAATAATAAAGTAATTGTATAAGAGTTTATAGAGTCTTAACTCCGACCATTCCTATATGTATGTTCAAAGTGAAATATAAACGCGATGAATCCATGTTCACAAAAGAGCTGTCAGTCCAGCGAGTATAGAATATTAGAATATGATGCTTAAGACAATAATGAGTATAACAGTCTAATTCTTTTGTCAAGATCTATTCATCTTTCGGGACACGTTATATTTAGCTAGAATAATAATAATATATATGTCAAGTCATTATGTCATACTAGGAAAATTAGTTTATTCATACGATACGTACGACCAGATGTATATACGTGCATGCGTGCCGTTGAATATTTCCAATACCTATAGGTACCTATAATATATGTATATAATAGGCGTCAGGCATACTGGAAACTAAAAAAAATAAGACATCCGAGACGGTGACCGACAGAGTGACCAAAAGAGAGGATAATAATAATAATAATATTCGATTCTAATACGAGATCATATTCTATTTTCAAAAGCACATTACCAATTCACGGGATGGTAATTTTTAGGTCACAGACTACGAGTAGGTTCCAATGTATACACATACTTACATTTATATACATAAGTATACGGAGTATTATTTTTCTAATATTATAAAAATATATACACACACGCGACCGATCGATTGCACAGATCGGCATTATAAACACAAAATTCATATATATACATATATATATAAATATATATATGTATAATATACGAGTATCTGGAGCGCATGCAAACAATATAATTTGGTCAGTGGGCGGCAGTTGCATTATTGTCATAGCCATTAGCCAGTCAATGTGATGTCAGAAAAGTATATCGTTTTGACGAAAAAAATGAAAAATAAAAGAAATCGGTAGATTTAGCATACCTATATGGCATATGCGGTATACCTCCTGTACGTTATTATAAAGATAATAAATTATAAGCCATTCCAAAACAACGGTTAATGCCAGTGCTCCAACCACACATGCAATAACCACGTGGTTTTCGGGATCGGTAAACGAAATTATGAGCGCATACTTCTTAAATTTTTTTCGTATTACCTTAAATCGTAATTATACACCGTCCAGATTTGAAAAAA